TGCCGTACGACAGGATGCTCTCGATCGCCCCCCTGTAGAAAGTGGTAAGGACAGGAGAAGGAAGATGTGCTTTTCTCATGCGTCACAAAAAATGCAGGCGCTACTGTGCCGGCTTCACCAGTGTCTCGCTGTTGAGCAACCAAGCCAGCCTACTTGTTAGCTGCACACCCAGGAATTTGATGCTGGTAACCCTCTCCACAGGTGAATCATTAATGCACACAGAAGTGTGGCTGGGCCTGCCTTTTCTGAAATCAACAATGATTTCTTTGGTTTTTCCAGTTTTTAAAATTAGGCTTTTTTTCTTACACCAGTTCACCAAACCCTCCACCTCCTTGCGGTAAGCACCCTCATTGTCGTCATGAATCAGGCCCACTACTGTTGTATCATCTGCAAACTTCATAATATGGTTGGTGGCAAATATTTATAAGCCAGGGGTCCCCAACCCTTGGGCAGCGCCCACTACTGGGACGTGGCCTATTCGGAATTGGGCCACGCGAGTGGCTGGCTGGAGCACTCTGCGGCCCAGTTCCCCTTTTCCCCCCTCGCGCCCGTTGAGCTGCCAAGCCACAAAAGCTGGGGGCTGCTGTTACAGGCCCTTTAATCCTGCATTCTGCGTCCGACTTAAAGCATCTGATTTTTTTTTTCTTCCCCTTCTGCCTCTGCATTATGATTACTATTTGTTGTAGCCTTGGGTCATTTTAACGGAAAGGAGCAATGTTCTTTGATGTATGCAAAACAACAGTGGACTAGCAAACATAGGAGACCAGCTTCAGGGGGGCATCTGAAAGAGCCATTTCTGACCCCAGGCTGTTAGCAAAGCAGCCAATTCATTTGTCTTCTCCCCCCTTCCGACAAAAATCAGATTTCACGTGTTGAAGTTATTTAAAGGCGGGGGGGGGAGCTAGGCTAGGGCATATCCTGAAGGCCCCTTTTGCAATAGAGAGTAAGGGGATTGTTTTTCCCTGGGATCCTGACCCATTGAGGCCTGCAAACCGCGTCCTTGATAACGTCGGAGCGAAATTGGGGCTGGCTGCAGTGGGGGGGAGCACTCCTCAAACAGATGGACCCGCAATTATATCGCGTCGCGCAATTGGAAACGGGAACAGATTAATGCCACAAGCGCAGACCAAAAGAAACAGGGAGAAAGAGGCTGTTTGAACTGATTCATGAATAATTTCCAGCCGGTACTGTAGCATAACCTCGGGGCAAAATAAATAAAACCAAAGCAGAATATTCATTTCCGTCCGTGTTCTTGTTCAAAGAATTAAGAGTTTTAGAGTCAGGAACCTCTGGTTCGATTCTGATAAATATTTTGTGTGCAACCTTTGCTGATGTGGTTGGCTGGTTCATTCGTTTTTTAGCTACCTTGGGATGGAAAGTGTACAAGTCATGATCCCTTCTCATGAATCTCATCTTCTGAGAAAGAACAGAGATGCAGACAGAGGGAAGATTTTAGAAAGTAAGGAGAATAGAATAGAATAGAATAGAATAGAATAGAATAGAATAGAATAGAATAGAATAGAATAGAATAGAATAGAATAGAAAATAAGAATATGAATATGAATAAGAATTATAATAGAACAGAATATTCTTAATTCTATTCTTCTATTCTATTCTAGTCTAGTCTAGTCTAGTCTAGTCTAGTCTAGTCTATTCTTTCCTATTCTATTCTATTCTATTCTATTCTAATTCTTATTTCTATTCTATTCTATTCTATTCTATTCTTTCCTATTCTATTCTAATTCTTATTTCTATTCTATTCTTTCCTATTCTATTCTATTCTAATTCTTATTTCTATTCTATTCTATTCTATTCTATTCTATTCTATTCTATTCTATTCTATTCTATTCTATTCTATTGTATTCTTTCCTATTCTATTCTATTCCTTCCTATTCTATTCTAATTCTTATTTCTATTCCATTCTGTTGTATTCTATTCTATTCTATTCTATTCTATTCTATTCTATTCTATTCTTTCCTATTCTATTCTAATTCTTATTTCTATTCTATTCTGTTCTATTCTATTCTATTCTATTCTTTCCTATTCTAATTCTTATTTCTATTCTATTCTAATTCTTATTTCTATTCTATTCTATTCTATTCCTTTCCATTCAGACAAATGGTTGTCCAATGTCTTTTTTAAAACCTCCAGTATTTAAGTTTCTTGAGCAGGAAGGGGGGGGGTTGGATTAGAAGACCTCCAAGGTCCCTTCTAAGTCCGCCATGCTGCAAAGTGACTCTGGACAAGTAAAACAAAACATCTCCAGTTCACGGGTGAATCTTCAACGCTTGCACCTGCACACTGTAGACCATTTCCCCCCCCCCTATCGGTGACTTCATGGCTTCTTGTAGCGTTATCCCACCGTTGCTATGGTGAACCATCACTAGTGAACACAGGACCTTCTAGTGGGCGACTGGCGGATGCTATAAATCCCAGCGTGGAAACGGCGGCTGGTCATATCCACTGACCCTGTGTGCAGTTTGAAAAGAGCATGAAACACATTCGTGGAGAGTAAAAAGGCTGTCATCTCCAATAACGGAAGCCATCAGCCTTTTGATATTAGCCAGTGGGAAACAGAAACGGCCCAGTGCTGTTGCGCTCGTATCTTGCTGGTGGGCTGCCTAGGAGACATCTGGATGGTTTTTGCAGAAGCAGACTCCTAGAACAGCTGGATCTCTGGCTTCAGGCTGGAGGCTTCAAATCTGAAGCATTGTGCCTCGCAACCCATCAAACCCTTGGCAAAAGGGAGAGCGGCAGCGATGCTAGCAGTGACCTCTTTGTTCAGAACTGTTGGCTTCTGCAAGCAGACAATGTTTGGGGGGAAAGAAATATGGGCTCAGCCTCAAACCACGTTTGCTTCCACTACAATGAATTAAGAGGGAGAGAAGTAGCAAAGTGGCATCAGTAACTATCAGCAACTAAATTTCATTTTTGATGTGTGCCGTTGTGCCCACAGTAAAAAAAAAAAATTACAATAAAGGTTATCTTATCTTATCTTATCTCCTATGGATGGAATCAGGCAATTCTAAATAGGAGGAGCAATCTACAAATAATAATAATAATGCACCATTGTTGCAGTGGCATGACAAAGTAGCAACAATAGTGCATTGGAAGATCTGCAAGAAATATCATTTGTCTGTAAGCAAGAACTGGTGGGATCATAAAATAGAGAAAGTCATAGAAAATGATAAAATTAAACTGCTCTGGGACTTCAGAATTCAAACAGACAAGCACTTGCAACATAACACCCCAGACTTAACAATTGTCGATAAGAAAGACAAAAAAGTCTGGATAGTGGACGTGGCAGTGCCTGGAGATAGCAGAATAGAAGAGAAAGAACTGGAGAAGATAACAAAATACAAAGACCTACAAATAGAAATAGAAAGACTGTGGCAAAAGCAAGCAAGGGTAGTACCAATAGTCATAGGTGCCTTGGGTACAATCCCAAAACAACTGGAGCGCCACTTGAACACCATTGGCATTGACAAATTCGCCTATTAGTCAATTGCAAAAGGCGGCCTTACTAGGAACTGCTTCCATCCTGTGACGATATCTGTAATACCATCAAACATCCACATCTGCCTATCCCAGGTCCTGGGTAAGGACTCGATAGGTAGACAAAATGCCAAATCCAGTCTGAACATCTGGCTGACTGTACGATGATGATGATGATGACGATGATGACGACGACAACAACAACAACAACAACAACAATAATAATAAAGTTGGAAGGGACCTTGGAGGTCATCTAGTCCAACCCCCTGCTCAGCCAGAAAACCCTATACCATTTCGGACAAATGGCTGTCCACTCTCTTCTTAAAAACTTCCACTGTAGTCCTTGACTTACAACCACAGTGGAGCCCAAAATTTTGATTGCTAAACAAGACAGTTCTTCAGTGACATTAGCCCCATTTTATGACCTTTCTCACCATGGCAGTGAAGTGAATCACTGCAGTCGTTAAATTAGGAACGCGGTTATTAAGCGAAACTGGCTCCCCCCCATTTACTTTGCTTGTCAGAAGATCGTAAAAGGAGATCACGTGACTACCCAGGACATGGTGACGGTTATAAATGTGAATCAGTTGCCAAGTGTCTGAATTTTATCATGCGACCCCTCAGGGATGCTGCAATGGTCGTAAGTGTGAAAAATGGTCATAAGTCCCTTTTTTCAGTTGTAAGATTTTAAGATTCACTTAACAACAGTACCATTAACTCAGGGGTCTTCAAACTTGGCCCTTTGATGACTTGTGGACTTCAACTCCCAGAATTCCTCAGCCAGCGTGCCTGGCTGAGGAATTCTGGGAGTTGAAGTCCACAGATCTTAAAGGCCTTGGTCAGGGGTCTTCAAACGTGGCCCTTTTATGACGTGGACTTCAACTCCCAGAATTCCTCAATCAGCGTGCCTGGCTGAGGAATTCTGGGAGTTGAAGTCCACAGATCTTAAAGGCCTTGGTCAGGGGTCTTCAAACTTGGCCCTTTTATGACTTGTGGACTTCAACTCCCAGAATTCCTCAGTCAGCGTGCCTGGCTGAGGAATTCTGGGAGTTGAAGTCCACAGATCTTAAAGGCCTTGGTCAGGGGTCTTCAAACTTGGCCCTTTTATGACTTGTGGACTTCAACTCCCAGAATTCCTCAGCCAGCATGCCTTAACAACTGTGGCAAAAAAGGGTCATAAAATGGGTCAAAACCCACTTCACAACTGCCTTGCTTAGCAGCGGAACTTTGTCATCGTTAATTGAGGCCTACCTGGATTTTCTTAAGTTGCAAACTGTGATTATAAATTATTGTAGTGGGTTTACAAAAGCCATTTTGCAGCTTAGTGGAATGTGTGGCTTTCTCAATTTTGGTCTTCACTTTGGAAAGGATGTGATCTAACTTTTTTTTTTTAAAAAAAAAATTCTCTATCCATCTTGCTCCGTTGCTTGCTTGCTTTGTCTTTATGGAGAAAAACACTCTTGATTTCCTGATTCTGAAATTGATTCTGCCACCTTTAATTGCAGGTTGCCAATTTGGCTTGTTCCATTTCCAACAATGAAGAAGGTGTGAAATTGGTCCGGATGGCAGCAACCCAGATTGATAGCTTATGCCCACAGGTGAGTCGTCTTTATATTATTATTTGGAGAGGGAGGGGAAATCTTTAGAGGTGTCTGTCGTATTATTATCTGAAATGGTCTCCTGCTTGAACAGGGGGTTGGACTAGAAGACCTCCAAGATCCCTTCCAACTCTTTTTTTTCCCTATCTTCTATGTTCTATTCTCCAAAGCGCCTGAAGGCAGGACAAGAAGCAACAGATGGAAACTCATCAAGGAGAAAACCAAACTAGAACTAAGGAGAAACTTCCTGACAGTTAGAACAATTAACCAGTGGAACAACCTGCCTCCAGAAGCGGTGAATGCTCCAACACTGGAAGTTTTTAAGAAGAGACTGGACAGCCATTTGTCTGAAATTGTGTAGAGTTTCCTGCTTGAGGTTGGACTAGAAGACCTCCAACTCTGTTATTCTGTTGTTCCTAAAGAGCAAAATATGTTTCCTGTGGAAAATAACCAGAATCATATGAATTTTGAGCTCTTCATTAGCATGCTTCTTTGTTTACAATGTCGCTTTGGTGTGATTGATGCTCTGCAGCTTTCACGTCTGCAACATGGCCCACAATAAAAACACAATAAAAAATCAGTAAAGACGTCAGTGCAGTACAGTGTTCACGGCACTGCGTCTTACTAAGGGCAACAATATTAATCAATTTTATTTACACATACAAATAATTTATAGGCTACCTGACTTCCAGTGAAGCCAGGTGGCTTACAGTTAAAATAATAATAAGAAGAATTTGACAAAAGAAAAAAAATCATAAGCAGCTTGGAGAGAGTTATGTAAACAAGTAAAAAAAACCCCATCTAATTTGGGTTCAATTATTAACCTGCTCCCCCAATCTAGAAGAATACTCAGATCTTCAGCAGCTTCCATCCAGGTCTCTAGAAAAATGTCATTCCAGAGGACAGATGGAAAAGATCTGGGTCCTAAGCCCCCCCTAGATAATAGTGCAGAATTGTAGGAAGAGACTCTAGAAAGAGTGCAGAGAAGAGTAACAAAGATGATCAAAGGACTGGAGGCTAAAATGTATAAAGAACAATTGCTGGAATTAAGTACGTCTCATCTAATGAAAAGAAGGACTAGGGGTGACACAATAGCAGTCTTCTAATATCTCAGGGGCTGCCCCCAAAAAGAGAGGGGGTGGTCAAGGTGTTTTTCCAAAGCACCTGAAGGCAGGACAAGAAGCAACGGATGGAAACTAACGGAAGAGAGAAGCAACCTAGAACTAAGGAGAAATTTCCTGACAGTTAGAACAATTAACCAGTGGAACAACCTGCCTCCAGAAGCGGTGAATGCTCCAACACTGGACGTTTTTAAGAAGAGACTGGACGGCCATTTGTCTGAAATGGTGTAGGGTTCCTGCCTGAGCAGGGGGTTGGACTAGATGACCTCCAAGGTCCCTTCTAACTCTATTATTATTGTTGTTGCTGTTGTTTGATGCGATCGTGTAAGGTGCTCACTAGGCTCAATTCTACCGGACGGAAGAAACATCTGGACAAAGGAAGTCCCTCAAATCTTGTCCCCGAATGTGGAATCTTGTCCAGATGTGCTTTTCAAAAGGCAACTGGACTTTCTTGTTTCTTTGTTTTTTTAAATTATTCTTTTTTCCTTGAAGACATTTCGCTTCTCATCCAAGATGCTTCTTCAGTTCTGACTGAATGGTGGAAGGTGGAAGGATTTATATCCCCTGCAGTCCTCTAGTCATTTGCACTCTCTCTGAGAATCGTTAAGGCCCCTTGAAGGTTTATCTGTGCCCCCAGGGTCACCTGAATAGTGTAAATGACTGTGAAACCCTCTTGGAACTGATGAAATTCATAACCTGAAAACCGTAACCTGGATGACTGAGAATCTCCATAGATATTTCATGAATGAGTTCTTCCCTCTTCAGCAGGGGTCCCCAAACCTGGACACCTCAAGGCTTGTGGACTTCAACTCCCAGAATTCCTCAACCAACCAAACTTGTCCACTTGAAGGCTGGTGGACTTCAACTCCCAGAATTCCTCAGCAAGCCAAACCTGTCCACTTGAAGGCTTGTGGATTTCAACTCCCAGAATTCCTCAGCCAGCCATACCTGTCCACTTGAAGGCTGGTGGACTTCAACTCCCAGAATTCCTCAGCAAGCCATACCTGTCCACTTGAAGGCTGGTGGACTTCAACTCCCAGAATTCCTCAGCAAGACAAACCTGTCCACTTGAAGGCTGGTGGACTTCAACTCCCAGAATTCCTCAACCAACCAAACCTGTCCACTTGAAGGCTGGTGGACTTCAACTCCCAGAATTCCTCAGCCAGCCAAATCTGTTCACTTGAAGGCTGGTGGACTTCAACTCCCAGAATTCCTCAGCCATCCAAACCCGGCCATTTGAAGGCTGGTGGACTTCAACTCCCAGAATTCTTCAGGCAGCCAAACCCGGCCATTTGAAGGCTGGTGGACTTCAACTCCCAGAATTCCTCAGCCAACCAAACCCGGCCACTTGAATGCTTGTGGACTTCAACTCCCAGAATACCTCAGCCAGCCAAACCTGTCCACTTGAAGGCTTATGGACTGGCTTGCTGAGGAATTCTGGGAGTTGAAGTTCACCAGCTTCAAGTGGCCCAATTTGGAGCCCCCTTGCCCTTGAGAACGGGATGTCCTGTTACTGCTATTCACAAGAGCCCTTTCCATCTTGTAGGTGATAAATGCAGCTCTGACCTTGGCTGCCAGACCTCAGAGCAAAGTGGCCCAAGACAACATGGATGTCTTCAAAGACCAGTGGGAGAAGCAGGTGCGAGTCCTCACTGAGGCCGTGGATGACATCACCTCTGTGGATGATTTCCTGTCCGTCTCAGGTATTTTGCTGGAAATATCGGTCGCTGAATATAGGAGCCGTTCAGAAGAGCAGGCAGGACATTGAAGGATGATACGGAAGAGCCAGGTTTTATATCCATTGTTGTTGTTGTTAGTTGCGAAGTGGTGTCCGACCCATCGCGACCCCATGGACAATGTTCCTTCAGGTCTTCCTGTCCTCTACCATCTTCTGGAGTCCATTTAAGCTCACGCCTACTGCTTCAGTGACTCCATCCAGCCATCTCATTCTCTGTCGTCCCCTTCTATTTCCCTCAATCTTTCCCAGCATTAGGCCCTTCTCCAGGGAGTCCTTCCTTCTCATTAGGTGGCCAAAGTACTTGAGTTTCAACTTCAGGATCTGGCCTTCTAAAGAGCAGTCAGGGTTGATCTCCTCCAGGACTGACCGGTTTGATCGCCTTGCAATGTAGGGGACTCGCGGGAGCCTTCTCCAGCACCACAGTTCAAAGGCCTCACATAGGAGATCATTTTAGCCCACTCCCTATGTCTCAGTCCAATGCAGGAACAGACGTAGTCCTCGACTTACAAAGGGTTGCTTAGTGATTGTTCATAGTTACGACAGACACCCCCAAAAGGATGGGACCAGCTTATCTGAGGGACCCTCTCTTGCCAGTCACATCCAGGGGACCCACTAGAGCAAGGAGGCAAAGAATATTGTGGGTCCCGTCCCGTAAGGAGGTACACTTGGCGGGACCCCAAGGCCTTTTCCGTGGTGGCTCCCTCTCTCTGGAACATCATCCCTGCAGAGGTTAGACTGGCCCCCAATTCTGACACTCTTGTGGAAGGCCCTGAAGATGTGGGATGGAGCCCATTAAATGGCTGGTATGAGTGTCTGTTGTCACCGGGATGAGTGGCTCTGTGTGTGTGTGTGTGTGTGTGTGTGTGTTTTATTTTTATTTTTTCTGCTTTGTGTTTGTCTTATTTGTAAGCCGCCTAAAGTTGCGGCGAGCAAATAGGTGGTTCTTGACTTACAACAGTTCATTTATTGACCATTCAAAGTTCACAACAGCACAGAGAAAAGCCATTTATGACCTTTTTCCCCACACCTACGACCATTGCAGGTCACGTGATCAAAATGCAGGCGCTAGGCATCTGACTCGTATTTATGACAGTCGCAGTTTCCCGGGGTGGGGGTGTCACGTGATCCCTTTTTGCGACCTCCTGACAAGCAAAGGCTAGGGGGAAAAGCTGGATTCACTTAGCAACCGGATTACTAAGTTAGCGCTTGCGGCGGTTCGCTTAGCAACTTTGGCAAGAAGGAAAGGTCATAAAATGGGGCAAAATTTTGCTCTCTCGCTGAGGAATGGGAATTTTGCGATTGTAAGCCGAGGAGCCACATGTATCGTTGATGGAACCCCGTTTATGAATCTCCACGGCCATGTTTTGTTACAGAAAATCACATCCTGGAGGATGTCAACAAATGTGTGATTGCGCTACAGGAAGGTGACGTTGACACCTTGGACAGAACCGCCGGGGCGATTCGAGGCCGTGCCGCCCGGGTGATCCACATCATCAATGCCGAGATGGAGAATTACGAAGCCGGGGTTTACACCGAGAAAGTGTTAGAAGCCACAAAGCTGCTTTCTGAGACAGGTAAGTGTGTGGGTAGGAAATATACTGTGAATTATGGTTCAGAAGCTTTCGTTTTGTGACACCTGGATTAACTGGTAAAATAGGAAGAGTCTGTACTGGTCCTCTTCCATACATCTCCTCTCCTGATTTGGCCTCAAAAAGGTGCTAAAAATTTGTGTTTCCCCTAGGCCAGGGGTAGGCAACCTTGGCTCTTTTATGACTCGTGGACTTCAACTCCCAGAATTCCTGAGCAAGCCATGCTGAGGGGAACGGGAGAGGTTTCCAAGCTGAGCCATGCTGGCTCAGGAATTCTGGGAGTTGAAGTCCACAAGTCATAAAGCGGCCAAGGCCTAGGCCAGAGGTAGGCAATCTTGGCTCTTTTATGACTCGTGGACTTCAACTCCCAGAATTCCTGAGCCAGCCATGCTGAGGGGAAAGGGAGAGGTTTCCAAGCTGAGCCATGCTGGCTCAGGAATTCTGGGAGTTGAAGTCCACGAGTCATAAAAGAGCTAAGGTTGTCTACTCTTGCCTTAGGCGTTGTGAAATGGATTTTCACGAGACCCAGATATGGGTTGTGTTGTGTTGTGTTGTGCGGGGTGTTGTTCATTACATTTGCTGCTTGGTTGTTTTGTTTTGAATTGTGGTTTCCTTCCCTGAATGAGACGGCTAATGGGAAGCTGTATCCGTTGAATTAAACCGACAAATTAGCTTTCACTTTTCATTAGATCAAATCGTAGGGACTGAGTGGCGTGTGTCGGGTGTGGATTGGCGTATTCTTCAGGAACTGTCCAAAATATTTCACCGTTGCTTATTAGTAATTCTGAGACTTCTAATCCTCCTGGGCTTGAAGATTCGTGTCCCCAACGCTTTGTTCTAAAAACAAAAATAAACGGATTGGATTTTGAAGGACTTGGCTCAGAGGACAAAATGGCAAAGTTCTGTATTGTTGCTATAAAAACTACATGTAGCTGAAGCCTGTAGAAGTCAAATTTGACTCAATTTCCTTTTTTCCTTTGTTCTTCTCTTTCTTCCTCCCTTCCTTTCCCTTCCCTTCCTCCATCCATCTATCCATCAGTTTCTTCTTTCTTTCCTTCCTTCCCTTCCATCCATCCAACACTCCCATCCTTACTTCATTCCTTTCCCCTCTCTCCCCTTTTATCCATCCATCCATCCATCCCTCTCTTCCTTCTTTCTTTTCCTCCCATCCATGTATCATTCCCTTCCTTCCTTCCTTCTTTCCTCCCTCCTTCCACTTCTCTTCTCATCATCCCTTCCACTCCCCATCTGTCCGTCCATCCATCCATCCCTCTCTTCCTTCTTTCTTTTCCTCCCATCCATGTATCATTCCCTTCCTTCTTTCCTTCCTTCCTTCCTTGCTTGCTTCTTTCCTCCCTCCTTCCACTTCTCTTCTCATCATCCCTTACACTTCCCTTCCCATCTGTCTGTCTGTCCATCCATCCATCCCTCTCTTCTTTCTTTCATTCCTCCCCTCCATATATCATTCCCTTCCTTCCTTCCTTCTTTCCTCCCTCCTTCCACTTCTCTTCTCATCATCTCTTCCACTCCTCTTCCCATCCATCCATCCATCCATCCATTCATTCATCTCTCTCTTCCTTCTTTTCCTTCCTTCCTTTCATCCATCCATTGCTCCCTTCCTTCCTTCCTCCCTCCCTCCCTTCTTCCTTCCTTCCTTCCTCCCTCCTTCCCTCCCTCCCTCCCTCCCCCTATTTTGATATGAAATTAATGTTTGATGAATTAAACAGAATTAAAAGCAGGCAGTTCACCACCCCAAAGGACTCTTTTGTGAATTAGGCCTTTTCTCCTCCTTCCTCAGTAGCACATCCAGGAGAGAAAGGCGTTTTCTCTCTAACAGAGTGACTTTTTCAGCCAGAGAATAATGGAAGGAGCCATTCAGCTAAACCACACAAACTGAAGCTTTTTTCTTCTCTCTGTTGCCTTTAAAAAAAAAAAAACGTAATCAAGGGCTCTGTAACCTATTTGCTCTGTCATTCAGAGATGAACTATTTCCCTGCCGACACTCTTATTGCTTCTGCCCACTGTGATTGTGCATGCGTATTACCGAATTGCAATGCATGCGTGCACTTATTGTATATTTATTATTAAATTTCCTAATGAGTTAAGATAGTTAAAATGTACCTGATGGGCTCTTCTAAAAGTGGCCTTACGTAAGTTGTATGAACCATAGTTTAAAACAGTGGTTCTCAACCTTTTTAATGCCGCGACCCCCAACCGGTCGTAAGTCGAGGACTACTCAACCGGTCGTAAGTCGAGGACTACTCAACTGGTGCAGCACCGTTTGCAGAATGGGACTTTTGGCGGGCTCAGCAGGGCAGAGACAGCCTGGACAATTCTTATTGGCTTTTGAAAGCCAGTAGAATTAGACTCTATTTAAGAGAGTCTATTCTATTGGTTTTCAAAAACCAATAGAATAAAAGAGAGTAGCACAGCTAAGGAAAAGGGGGAAAAATGGCAGACTGTGTTGTTTGGCGACCCCCGTGAAATGGTCATTCGACCCCAAATGGGGTCCCGACCCACAGGTTGAGAACCACTGGTTTAAAAGAAAGTTAGCAATCCTACCAATGGGACCTGGTGATTAGTCACAAGTGGGAAGGTCTAGAAACCAGGATCACTGTCTCCTTATTGGTGAATGAGGAGGACTTTTCAGTTTTTGTGGGCAGGACGTATCCTTAACCATACAGGTAATCTTCGTGTCAACGCTGCTAACATCGGATGTTTTTGCATTGACAACAGTTGGCGATGTAGCCATTTTCTTCTTTTCGTTTTTAGAGTTAGATGACGCTGGGGAGAGGTAGGGAGAGAGTCCAGCTAAACATAACAACACTGAACCTAGCATGAGAACCAAGGTTGTTGAAATAAGAGATGATAAAGAATTGGCGGGCTGGAGAACTGGAAGGAAAGCCTGCATTTCAAGCTAATTGGGGAATGTGATTTATGACTGCTAATTGGAGGAGGGAATTGTGCTTTGATACTATGTGCTCAGGGGAGGAGAATCCAGTTTTTGGCTTTGATTATGTTAGTGCCAAAGTTATTCTACTCGAATTTTACATTTGAATATTTAAAAAGCAATGTGGTGACTGGGTTACAATAGTCCAATAACAAAATCTTAGTGCAAATCTCAGGTTACAACCTCAAATATTTATTCTCTTTTCCCCTTAACATTTACTGTCTCATATTCAGGTTGGTACATTTCTAATTATATCAACTCAATAAGAACATCATTATTACATTTATCAATAAAATTTTAGCTGATACATACCTTAATTACATTCAGTCTTCATCAACAATCCATATCCTGTTATTAATTTTTACTCAATTTGTAATTTCTTATCAATATTCCAATTTGACCTTTGATATTTATAATTTTCAGACTTTGGGTAACCAACATTTCCCTTATCTCACTTCATAACAAACTATAATATCCAAAATACACATTTTGTCTATTTGAATATAATCTTGTCCTATTTCCTAAGAGTTATCTATTTCCCACCATATTGAATCATCTACTTAATATCACAACATCCCCTTTAACAAATCAAAACCATTATATATATATTGCCTGGGTTAATCAATAAATCCAACATATTCATAGTATTTACCTTTCTTTTCCCTTTTAGGTCTAATTTTTAAATATTAAGCCGATAAAAATCCTTATTTTCAACTAGTTTCCAAATATTATCAATCTAATAACCAAAATTTGCCTTATCTCAACATCTCCCTTTAACCGTCTAATTCAGACATATCAAACGCAAGGCCTGGGGGATGGATGCGGCCCGCAAAGTTGTTTCATGTGGCCCGTGAAGCCATCCTGGAAACAGAGAGGGAACGGCCCCCGCTGCCTTGGCCCTGGCCCAGGCCAGCCGGGAGCCAATGTACAATTTTATGGTGGCCATCTATGCTGAAACGCATTCAGTCTTAGCTCCACAAGGCCGTCCGGAAACAGCGAGGAACCAGCCCCTGCCGTGTTCGGCCTCGCCCACTGGGTGCATGCTGGGGAGGTGTCACCCTTTGTGAGGACTGAAGAAATGCACCATTGCCTGGAAGTGGCCAGCAAATGGCCCTTGCCTGCTTCACATATCCAGCTTGATGGGCTCTGCCCCGGTCCCCCCCCCCTTCTGCCAGAGACCCTCAGATCTGTCCCACTCCTGCCCAGGCCCCCACAGGCACCCTTGATACGAACGATGTAGAGCTGGCCACGCCCACCCAGTAGGCCACACCCATTCCATCCACACCCACCCAGTAGGCCGCACCCACCCTGGCCACACCCACCCGGCCCCCCAAGGGCAACCACAATGCTGATGCAGCCCTCAATGAAATTGAGTTTGACACCCCTGCTCTAATTGACAATATAAAATCCCCTCTAATGGCAACGGACTCATATTTATGACGTTTGCAGGATCCCCCGGCTCACTTGATCCCTTTTTGCGACCTGATTCACTTAAAAATTGCAGTGATTCGCTTAACGACCGTGGCAAAGAAAGGTCACAAAACGAGGCAAAACTCCCTTAACAACTTTCTCATGGAGCGACGGAAAATTTGGGGCTCAGTTGCGGTCGTATGCCGAGGACTCCCTGAGCTTTCTGTCTTTTGACAATTCGAATGGATGATTTGATGATTTGAATTGACCCACCGTTAGACTTCACAAATAAATTGGAGGTATTACACCTCTACGTACCTCTGCAAGTTTGTCTCCCGGGTTAATTTTATTCCTTATCATTCTTCCTGGCTCTTCTCCAGCAAGGATACTATTTTCTTAATCCTGAATATTTCTTTTTTTCTGCATTCTCTACTTTTGCGGTTAACCGTTCACGTTGCCGCCAAAGCTTTGGGCGATGCATCCAAATATGTTTTCCTGACATTATGTTGGCCTCCGCACGCCAGGCTCCTTCACCGTTTCCACCAGCCCCACCAGGATCGCATTTGTCTTTTGAGTGGACCAGATGTTCTCTCTCGTCCTGTGGTACGGTCTGTCATCCAGATGT